ATTTAATTTTTAAATTTAATTGATCAATATTAATATTAAATTAAAATATAAGAGTTTAATAATTTTTAAAAGATATTATAATAATTAAAAACTTAAATATCCATATGCAAAGTCTGCAATTCAAAGCTAAACATTGGCGAGGAGAAGTTTGGGAAGGGGGATGCTTGTTGCATAGAACGTTAAATATATATATATATATATATATACGCGAGTTTGATATTTTTCATTTTATTTTTAATATACAGTGTAAAAACATTAAAATGATTAAATTATTATTAATAAATGAGTATATAAAAAATATTATTATTAATATTTTAATAATTTTAAATAAAAAAAGTAAAAAAATAATCTATCATTACAATATAACATAACACAATATAATATAACCAACCCAAACCCTCCCTAACAAAACCCAAGGCTTCATTTAGGAGTGATTTTATTTTTTTGAAAAATGAATAAAATTCATTACATAAGTACGAAAGGTACTCAAACTTATAAAATAACAACATGTAAATTTATAAAAAAATAATAATAATTATCAAGTTCATAAATTTATGTCTTAATCAATATGAGAAAACCTTCACTCATATGTGTATCCAAAACTATTCTTTATCAGGTTTGAATGTTATCTTTTATAAGTTATTGCATGTCGAACCTTTTTTCTTCTGACAAAAGAAATAAAAATACATTACATAATTATAACTACCATCATTGTTTAGAATTTAGTACAGAACAAGTTGTAGTTAAAAAAAAAAAAAAGAGAGAGTTAGATTAAAGTATTCTGAAATTGCCTTTACTCACGTTTATTCCGCTGTGGACAGCTGGTTTCTTCCTTTCTTTTTTTTAAAATTTTTTTTGATAAATAGGTTTTTTTTTACAGAGTAATAATTAAAAATTAAGAATTAAAAATTAAATTAATATCTTACTCATAATAAAATTTAATCACTAATCAATATGTAGTCTACCAACAATTCTTTTGAATTGCAGTGACCACAATAGTAGAATGCACATAGTTGGAAGCTTTTGTCTTCTATGTTTGTCTCGCCTTGTAATCAGAAGGCACCGGTGCGCTTTCGCTCTGGTGGTTGTCACTTGTCATATATATATATATATATATATGTATATATTTGTTGGTTTCATTAATGCATACATACCTTTGTTGCTTCTGTTATATTGCCAATCACAATATTAAC